AATAAAATTAGTTTTGATTTTGGGTTTCTTGGGTTATATTTAAAAAGATAGAAGTACAATTAACAATAAAGACTACTAACCTTTCTCAATATATGGGATATATTTTTAACAATCAAGCCATAAAGTACACAAGATCATTGGAACATAGTATAAGAGCTCACTTGGGCTATTCGAGTTTTCATAATTCCTTTTACTTACATAATCTTCTGCATGCACAGCACCTCTGTATTCATCCTAGTCCTATCTGGTTTTTGCACATATTTTTGAATTGAGAGAAAGTTCTTTTAATATCACAGCTAATGCATACAATTTACAGTGCACAACAATATCACTTCCGTTCAACAGAAACAAAATATCTGCTGTTGCTTTAAAAAAAAAAGAAAGAAAAAAAGAGTTTTTTTTTTGCCCTGGTTGAACTGGAAATAAAAGACTGGCAAAAGATACTTCGCAATAAGCATAAAAGCGACATTTTGGGAATCAATCTATGTCGCTGCAGTTCACTGAAGCCAACAAAATCTAGGTTCGTTTCCGAGGTCTGGAGCTAGCACGTGTGCTCCTACCCACCCTATTGCTTCCTAGAAAATGTTTCAGAATGGAGTAATTTGGTAAATGGTGAAATTCAATTTCTAATTTTGGGGAAAAATCGGGTGTGACCCGATTTTTAAGAATCATGCTTGGTGTGTAAATATTGGGAAATATCGGGTTTTGCCCAAAAATAAAGGACCCTATGTATATGTTGTCAATCAATATCCATAAAAAAATTTTTTTGTTTAGCTGCACGATGCACGGTTATAGTACAATGTGCATCATTCCACCCTGGACGAGTATTTATGACTAGCACAGAATAGCTATGTCTACATCTCAGCAGTGCACCAATGCACGGTGACAAGAACACTCAACGGAGCTACTAGTTGAATCACCCTAACAGGCCTCCAAAAATGAGAAATGTTCTCCGAACTTCAGAAAGTCATGTTTGATGCGAAGATCTTATAACATCACAGTTTATTCTAAGCAACCCCCCCATAGTTCTGAAAATTCGCGCGAGCTTACCATAACAATCCTGCAGCGTAGAGACACCCAAACAATTAGTTTCTGCATTAGTAGAGCGAAATGAGCATTTGAAGCAATGTTGGCACATATTCCTCACATTTTGGTGAAATGTAGCAGAATGCAGCAGGGTAAGTGCCAAAACTTTTTTTTTAACGTTGTCACGATTGTGGAAGCAGGCCCTTGTTCAACACGTGCGCGATTCTAGCCAGACACAAGGATAAGACGATCAGGGAAATAATAGAAGCAGACTTGATAAAACAGTCTGGAGCACAATGTGTCAGCGTTGCCGCCATTGACCTGTTAGACAAAGAGATAGCGTTTTTGCCAGCGACGGTGAGGCCCGGGATTGGCTGAGGTGAAGCGGTGTGAGTATATATGTCTCCCCCCATTTTTTCAAAAATAAACAGTTGATGTAGCGCTCCGTGTTGTCTAGCCTCCCTTTTGTCCTTGTCTTAAGCGCCATCATGACGTCGAATTCCCAGTACCAACTGGCCCAACAATCTGCATTGAAAATTAAATAAATCAGATTTATTTTATTTAAATCAGAATAATTTTATTTAAATCACTGTAACTTGAAAATAGTGACTCTTTATTACTACATCTATTTTTAAACAAGGCAGATTGCAAGATTGATCAATCCCTCTGATCACTGATAACAATGTGGAAGAAAGAAATTCTGTAAATTTAAGTTTAATGTGCTTTTTGTTGACACCACCCCCCCCCCCCCCCCCCCCGCCCCCCCTCCATTCAGACCAGAACAAAAACAGCTTGATTTCTTTTGTAAGCTAAAAAGTTTTCTTTGCATTTTCTTTGGTATTCTGATTTGCTTGGAACAGGACGTGACATAACAGACAAAGTGGAATGTAGAAAGCTCAATGCTTCAATTTGCTCGGAAAAGCACTGCCCTTCAATCACGTTCAGCCTCTTTCTTGCTTGATCATTCCTTCATTTCAGTAAGAAACAAATTCGGATAGAAAGCGTTAAATAATAGACAGAGTAAATAAGAACTAGTTTTGAAAATATTTTTGCAGGAACAGTTTCGCAGTACCACCCAGCGACGATATTTGAATGCGGCTCATATATTGGACTCGAGATAATAGATAGCTCAAGAAACCATCATAGTGAAACTGGTCTGACATAAATCACGATTTAAATCAATATTTAAATTGAGATTTAAATCATCTTGATTTTCCTTCTTAACCCTGCTTTTTAGCCACCCCGGTCTGAATACCGCTGGGCCAGCTGATACTGCGGCACCCTGTACATTTTACATTAGAAAATGTAAAACTTTCACAAATTAATTTGATGTAAAGATATCATGTAGGAACACATTTTTTTGAAAAAGAAGTCATAAGCTACCTAAATTGTCAGGTGCATGAAAGGCCAGAGAACTTGAGAAGCAGGACAAGCACACTCAAGTCAGTGACCTCGTCTAAAAAAGATACAATTTTTCCTCTTGCACGATGGGGGACATGCACAGATGCGATTGAGTGATGGTGTGTTGCATGCGTATCATATTGTGTTTCTATAGCTCTTGTCTTATTTTTTTGTCTGTTTCAAGTAACAGTGAACTCTCAGTTGCAAGTCAGTGCATGTTCTGTGTTGCTTGTTTCTTCCCCTCCGTTCGTGTTTTTCTTTTGCGCTGCTTAAACTGTATAGATATCACATAAAAACATTACATATACCTACTAGTCCAGTCTAGACCTTATTACATGAAGAGGGGATCCCAACCAAATTAGATTAGAGCGACTCATATTTTGACAAGCAGAGGATGCAAACTATTTCTAAAGTAATCTAACTGCGTTACTGCTAACTACTTGCCAAAAACATTGTCGAAACTAATATTACGGTTACCTACATTATCTGAAATTAACAAAAACTACTATTTTTACGATAACTTCGAAGTAGTTGAGCGGTTTAAACTGCTTCGAAATTACATTATTTGGTTACAGTATCTGGTGGCATTATTTGGTTACAGTATCTGGTGGCGTTCGTGGGCATTGAAGGAGACAGGGCGCTTCGTGAAGTTTGACCGATGCTCCGAAATTTCGCTAAACATTGTTTGGTAAGTGCTGGGCCTGGAATTTGAATGCTACAGCAGAATAACACCACTGCTAAAAATTTTGCCAGATGCAAATTAGAAAGAAAATATTCCTATGATTTGTACACAGAGCGGCCAAACAGCCATGAAGAGTCCAACTTCTAACCTTTTGCGATTTACAACACCTGAAGCAACTATGCTGTTCAAGTTTTACTTTTGCTACAACAGATGACCTGTAGCAGAAGTAAACTACCCTAAAATCCCATAAGGATGCCAACCTATTTTGAAGAAATAAATGGTAAAAAAATGTCCGATGAGCGATCTTTGGGAATGAGACAGCACCAGTTTATATATAAAAAAAAAAAAAAACGATCGATAAGCACCAGGTACTCGCTGACTCGGGAATTGATACCGCAGATCGCGAACACACAGATTAGCGTTGCACGGTGCGATAAACCTAGCAAGTTTGCAAGTTTGCGGTTTGAGTTTGGGAACTTGCAAACTTCCGTTTGCAAGCTCCTGAACTGAAACCGCAGATCACAAATGCAGCATATTCACTTTCCACGGCGCAATAAACTACCTAAAAACTCCCGTGTAACGGGAAATGATACCGCAGATCGTGGATTCAGCAGATTCGCTTTCACTGTGCGATAAGTACGCAGGAACTCTCTATGAACTTGCATGTCACGGGAACCGGTGTTGCGGATAGTGGACGCTATAGATTTGCCTTTTATGGCGTGATAAGCAAGCAGGAGCCCGCCACGAACTCGCATGTCATGGTAACCAATATCGCGAGCTTGGTTGATGCGATTCTGGTCGGACACCGCCTAGTGACCGACAAGAATCAGGGGGTGGGCGATGATTTGGGATTTTTATGCTATAGATATTTGGCCAGAAAAACGGGATGAACGATACAATCTCTGGAAAAAGGTGCCCTTAAAATATAACAATAAATGCATGTCATAAAAAAAAAAAATATATATATATATATATATATATATTAACAAATTAAGTATGTCTTATAAATTTCCTGCAGAATCTTTCTAACCTCTGTGTAGCATGTTTGACAGCATAATCCTGGAATTCCAAGGCAATGGAGTAAACAATGTCAAAGCAAATGGACAATGAGGATTCTTCATCAATTTCCTTTACGAGTAACACCCCAACAATTCAGCCTGCAGATTTATTCAATTTTTAGCTATCAAACTCAACTCCTTTCATTGGTCTCAATTTTCATTAAAGGCTGATGTACAACTTTGATTTAATGCATGGAACAGAGTTCTATTAACTTCCTGAAGGAAGCAAAATACAAGGGCTCTCCACTAAGTCACTGCAACATCACTTTTGTGCCCATTGTGGAATACCTTGCTCCCCAATGTTTGTACTAAAGAGACTACAAAATGAAATAAATATTCACAAACCCTGTGGAAAAAATAAAAAAGAAATGTGCAGGTCAGTCTTTAACTGACAAAAAAGCGGAAATATTGAACACTTAAAAATCTAGATACTTCCGAACTTTGGCAAAAAAATTCAGCAGCTGCTGATGACTAAAAGCCATAAATGCAAAACTAAAACAATAAAAAAAAAAGTTGATAGTACCAGGTGGCAAGAACAGTTTTGAAAGCCACCTATTGGTGGATGCAGAAAACATTGGTAGCAGCTGATGTCCGAAGCATATAATTGAAAAAGTAAGCCGTGGAGAATTTAGCTGGAGCGGCCACTATGCAGTGATTATGCAAATTTGAGCTAGCCATAGAATGCACAAAGCATCTACCAGGAACCATGCAAACGGAACAGAATCTTCTTGGCCACTAAACAAACCACAAAAATAGGCACACTGTATCTTAGCTCTACCAGGAACCAAGCCAATAGAACAGATTCTTCTTGGCCATCAAACAAACCACAAGGATAGGCACACTGTCTCTTAGCTAGAATATTTATTGTAGAGTCCGAATAAACAATTTAGAAGTGGAAATCTTCTCGGTGGACAAGCAGTCACTATTGTGACCACCAAATGTAAGTTTGAATCGCATGACCAGGAATACTGAAGTTCAAGCTTCCAAGCTGTGAATCAACCACAGTGAAAGACCGTTCGATAGAACGCCTGTTCATCACCACCAAGACCGTCGCATTGTCCGGTCTGACAAAAGCCAGAGTTTCCAGTCGCCGCTGGGAGCCGCAGTCCACCCGCTTCGAGCCACGGGACACAAATTTGGTGAAGTGGGCAAGGGCATAATACATGGGCTGCTTGTAGAACTCTCCGGCCGTGGCGTTCACAATGATCGGGGAATCAACAAAATTGCGTGCCCAGTTGGGACCCCCTCTTGTGTTCAGCGCCAGGTTCCAATCGATCCAGCCCGTCGTCCAGTGGCGCATGTCGTGAATAATGTCGTATGCATAGCTGGCAGCCCGGCTCCAACTCCCAAGAATGACCCTGTTCCTCAAGAGCGACGTAGCACCTTCGCATGCTTCCGTTGCCAGGAGAAACTTGTCAGGGTGTGAAGCGTGGGTCTCGTCCAAGGCTTGAGGTCCCTTCATGTGATTCCAGTACCAGTGGAAGGCAATGCCCGCCACATACTTGGAGGCTTCGGGGTCCTGCAGCACAACATTGGCAAAGTTTGGCAGAAAGATCCTCTGGTCGTCCAGGATCATCAGCTTGAGTTTGTTGGGTCCATAGTCCGCCCTCTCGAGAGCAGGGCCGAGATCAAATTTTACGAAGTCTCGCTGGGAGCTGGCACTGAAGCCCATTGTCTGGAAAGAGTAGAATGGAATGAAACCAGACGATGGCTCATTCTGAGCTGTGATGCCCCAGAAGGTGACGTTGCGGTCGCGGTAGGCATTGAGGAACTTGACCAAGTATTGTGCCCAGGTCTTGTAGTAGATGCCATTCGGCTGGCCCCGTAAAGTTCCTCGACCACTCATGGCACTGTTCGTCTTCATCCAAGCTGGGGCACTCCAGGGGCTGGCGATGAGCCACAGCTGGTCGGTCGTCTTTAGCTTTTGCGCTTCCTGAATCAGTGGGATCTTGAGCCTCATGTCCTCGGGGGCAAGGCTGAATTTGAGAAGTTTGAAGTCATTTGCAACGTCGGCGTAGGAATACACACGAGTGGAGAAGTCGGAGCTTGCAATGGGCACTCTTCCCATGTTGTAATCGAGACCTTCCTCGGAAAAATACGACTCGAGAAGCTTACCTCGTAGAGGTTCGCGCAGGCTGAGGATGTTGATACCAGCGGAATCCGTAAAAGAACCACCAAATCCGAATATGTGTTGGAACTTGTTTTCTTGCTTAATCTTGATAACGCTGTGACTCCTCGATGTCGTTGAGGAGAGCGCAGTACGGTTGCTATCGTGCGGCACAAACTCAATGGTCGTTGACAGAAACCTCGATCCATCCTTGCTGCTTTCATAGACAGCTGCGACGCCGGCGGCAAGCTTCGGTATCCGCCCCAGCATGTCGCACTGCACGCTGTCGCAGACGCAAACCGTGCTGCCTTTTCCGAAGTTCCTGTGGATGCAGACGCTTTCGATGCGCTGGCCTAACACACACAGCAAGAGCGCCGCGACAACTCGGGCCATCGTCGAACGATAACTGGAGATATTCAATGACGCGTTCGATCTCCAAAAGCGGCCACCGCTGCGACGACCTTCCGACCCGATTTTCCAGAATCTCAATCGAGAGCATATCTTCCGGGGACATTGGCGGTGCGCGTTCGGGTTCATCGCGTCCTCATGCTTTAATTCAGCACGGTCCGTATGTGCCCAGCAGCCGAGATCCTGTTCGCTCGGCCAAATGCGGTATGCGACCGCGTGAAGCGAAACTGAATTTCCGATTGATCGGACGCATCTCCAAATCGTGTTTCAGCGCGCCAGAAACGTATATCGCGCAATCTATGCAGTATGCACAAGAACGCGAAGCGCCCAGCGGCTTGGCCGGCCGCTTTGCCTCTCGAAGTCGATTTACTATTAGGATTGATCAGCACAGTGCATTTCCGCGTCTACGGTTGACACCTTATACGATGGTCCGTTTCACAAGCTAGACGCAGGTAGACTACGTAAATGCCAGCTAACGGAACGACCTATAAAAGGTCGCCGAAACTATACCAAAACAAGCGCCCCATCTCCACAGCTTGACGAAAACGGCGACTAAAAAAAAGGATCGCTGCTGGTGCAAGGTGACTTACCCTGAAAACATACGTCGCCGAAAGTCCGCTGAACGTTTTCCACGGCAGTGACATTCTTGCAGAAAATGTATTTTTGAGCGTGCGCCGAGTACCAGAAGTTGCACGTCACCGTGCTACGACTGCTTTGAAAAGTGGCGTCATCTGGGACCCCTTTATCGCGCGCCCTTGGGTGCTTGTTAGTTTCACTTGAACGCCGAGTTGGCCGAATCCTCCTCTTCGGCGCGTCGTAATCTCTGGACTCGCACTGGGTAGCGATTACGGCGATCAGTCGACATCGCCGACAGGCCGACAGACGAGACTGATAGAACGAGAATGAGCCATGTGGATTTACTCTGGATTCGTTCTGGATTCAACTCCAATAAACAGTTTTGATTTGGTTTTGGTTGGTTTGGTTTGATTTGGGTTACGCCTTGTTTAGGGCAAGGATCGCGGTGATTTGGACGCTGTTGAGAATACCCACTGATCTCTATGGATATGCTTCAAATCTTATCCTGTCTTCTATCGCGAGTAAACGATCCGCGACTGCCGGGATAACCTGGATACTACTCGGATTGGCTTCGTCTTGCGCTACGGCAAAAGGAAGCATAGCAGCGATGGCGGAAAATAGCAGACGATCTCTTTCGATCACGGAGAAAGCACTCGAACCAGCAACAAGTGGAGAGAAAGTAAGGATTTGAATTTAAATTTTGAAAGGGCGATAATGTTAACCGCGTCGAAGTTTTTCTTTGACAGTGACGACGCGGTGTTTTCTGAGGTGGCTCCACCAGCTCCTTTTACTCACCTTGCTTTTGGGCTTTATATATTGAAAATCCAAATTGCTTACTCCTCTCAGTTAGACATCAAAAATGTGTTTGTATAAGTCAACTCGATCGCTGTAAGTCTAGTCTAGGTGCCCTAAATGCATATGTTACACGCATCGTAATTTGCACCGATTACGGTTTGCAGAAATTGCTTCCACACGGTCAGGGACGTTTTGAAGAGTGGAAAGAGACGTCCTGTTACTTTGTCAGGGACACGTGACTGAATACTCTCCATGGCGGCATTCGACATAAGCAGAGTCAGGAGCGCGATGGCAAGCTCGGATAATAGCGGAAACATGGCTGCCCCTGCGCTTCAAACTTGGTCTTGTTCGAACTACTCATTGTTCTAAATCTGTTTTCGTTCGTCATGGCTTATTTTGCTTTAATAAACTTCCACGTTTCGCGGAAAAGCCTCCTTTGTTATATGCGCGGTACAGCACGCGTTGCCGGACAACATCAAGTTCTGCTGGATGTCTCGAGTTGCCTTTAATGTCCTTTTCTCCCGGAAGAGGTGCCTTCTGTAGGAGGATGGTGGGAAACTTGAGAAAATAAGAGACGCCAGTAGGGAAGGAGAAAGACCTTGCGAGCATACGATAATCTAATATGAATACAAAAGCGATGTCTTCGGAGCTGAATCTAGCTGTCACTGTAGCTCACTGAAGCTAATACAGTGATGTGATTGGCCTGAGCCATTTTGGAGCACCTTTCGGAGCAGCCAAAACAGTGTTTTGGAGCAGCAAATGTGGCCTTTGGAGCAGCCAAAGCAGTGTTTTGGAGCAGCAAAAGTGACTTTTGGAGCAACCAAAACAGTGTTTTGGAGCAGCAAACGTGGCTTTTGGAGCAGATATTCTTAGAAAAATAAAAATATTTGTTTTAAGTGCTGTAAAAACAAAGGTCACTTTGTGTTGTGTTCTGATGTGACGTGTTGGGGCGGAACTCGCTGCTTGTGTTTTTACTTTTTACTGCTGAGACATCCCACAGGTGTACAGTGCTGTAGGCACTGCCCAGCAATTCCGAAAAAAAAAAAATTGGGTTGTGTGTGTGTTTATACAGCCTAGAACTTGGTCTGCCTCACAGGGGCGACGAGTCTCCCAGCTGTAGATGAGCAATTTAGCCAGTGCGGTACAGCCGCTAGCCTGGGGTCTTTAACGTGCACCACGCAGTAGTGATACACGACCGCACGCCGGTACGATGCTCATCCAGATCGAAACGGGCAGGGGTGGGGCTCGAACCCAGGATCCCTGGGTTCTGCAGCGCGAGCTAGCAATTCCGATAAACCGCTTGCCACCGTTTTACTAGTTCCCGGCGAGCCAGATGTTTGTCAAAAGTAAGCAAACATAAAACATGGATTGCGTCCCGGCTGGCGCCTCTGTCTGCAATCATGTTCACATGCACGTGAGGGCAACTTCGGCAGGCTTGCAGTTGCGCGTGCTTCGTCGCGCGAGGCCAACTTATTCCCAAAATTGTATGTAAAATGTATCTGTTCAGCATACGAGAAAAAACAGTCCAGCGGCGCGTGTTTGCCAGGCCGGCAGAACAAGGTACAAGCTAAACACACACACAAAAAAAAAAAAAGAACCTGAGCGCATCGATGCAAGACATCACGAGCCAGGATCACAAAGTTATTGGAGCGCTTTGCGCAACGACTGAACTCGAGACTAAGAAGCGTGCTGTGCGGGTTCAGCGTGCAGACATTGCCTTCTTTGCTTTAGCTCACTTCCCTTCACAAACTTTCTTTTGCGGCAGAGTTTTCACCATACCGGGATACCTCTCAAAAGAAAGCCCGCCGAGAGAAACCTAGGTAATAAATACTTCGACACAACAGTCTTCGAGTTAAAAAAGGATTTTTTTAGTAACGTATGATTAAAACAAGAAAAGGAATGTTGATGAACATGCGGCGGTACTTAGTTTCATTTCAGAATGCGCCATATCTGCAGCGATGCGGGGGTACGGCAAGATGCGACGTCGCGCGACCACAGTGACTGAAAGGCAGGGACCAAAAATAGTCTTCCCACGGCCGTTGCTTTCTGGAGCGAGTGCTTCAGCTCACAAAGTAACTCCTGCCGCGCGAAAACGTGGTTTCGTTTCACAACATGACGACATGGCAGGTACCCGGCATGCTAGCGTCAGAGCGTCCGCACACACCCACGTCTATTGTTAAAAATGCAAAAAAAAAAAAAAAAAAAAAGCGAGACGAGATTTACAAAATAACGAGAACGCGAGACGACGGAAAAACCATGCAAGACCGGATGGACAATTGATGCAGGGTACTTTGTGTCGGGCGTCCGCTTGCGCCACATAACCCACGCATGCTCGATTACGGTAGTCAGTTTAGTTTCGGTTTTGAAAGGCGACCGAAATTATCTTTTGGCACAGGTTTGGCGCAGATTACCCATATTTTGGCAAAATGTAGCAGGATGTAGTAGGGCTAGCCCCTTGGCGCAGCAATCACATCACTGCTAATAGGATCTATCGTCACGCCCACGCATCTTCACACAGAAAATTCCCGAAAGCGGCAATTCAGAAAGGGTGGACTGTCGCTGTGTGTCCTCTATGCTAAAATGTCTTTCGCACAACACCCTTAAAAAAAAAAAAAAAAAAAAAAAAAAAAAAAGATTGCCGCGTTAGGATTTGAAATAGCCCAAAATAGCCGCATAGAGCCAACCACCCAATTTCGACGTCAAATGGAGTAGAAACTAACCCAATTTGGCTATTAATAGCCCAACCTGGTAACCCTGTGTCTGTGTATTTTTTGCGCTTTGCTACCATCTCATACTTCTGCGTTCGAAAACCTATCGTAAATCTACTCGAATGGTTAATCGTGCATAATGGCAACCACTGATTTTTCCCCCCTTTATTGATAGCAACTCGCCGGAACCATACTGGACGATCCAGAAGATTTGTACGTGCGACACGTACACCTTCAAAACTTTGTCACGGCGTCGAATCTTGATAAGTATCCAAGCGTGCGAAGTCACAGAGACGCAGCACTTTGGCGTGCAAAGGAAGCTTTGATCACGCCGCGAGACTGACGAAACTTCCGTTCGACGACTTGTGCTTTTCCCAGCGGTGCTGAGCTTCCGTAAACACTTTTCACGTGTTCTCAAAGGTAATTTTTACCGTTACCGCAAGGTTTTAAAAAAAAGTCTTCGGCGAATGACGCTGAACGAGTAGAAAACGTGTCTTTAGCACGCTGCCACCCAGCCTCCGCAACGCTCCAAAAGGTCGGTTTTCCGTGTCCGAATTAAGATAGCCGTCCAGTGGCTGCATTCACGGAGCGGGGAAGCGCGATCCAGCAATGGCCATAGAGAATACCCCAAAACTGCGAACGAAAGAAGAAAAACAATAATAAGTAGAACTATCTTTTTATTACGGTGTCAGTGCGGATAACCTTTACTATGTTTAACTTAATTACCAAAAATCCACCCACTAATTTTTGTAATATTAGCCTTAGTTGGCAATCAGCACCAATTCCAAACAAGGGATCTTGTCCGTCATCAAAAATAGGCGAGAGCCGTTGTTAAGATTCAGACAACTAAATTCTGGTCCGGTCTATTCTCTGGCAAATTAAATTCGTGAAGATACTGAGATACCGAAACTATGATGTTTGGAGCGCGTCTCTGACTGGTGTGTTTAGCATTCTATGCTGGTGGCAAAAAAATACGTCACAGAAGCTGGAGTGTCACGCTTGTCATGCTGTTGGATGTCGCGAACCTGGCGGTTGAAGATAGAAAGGCTGGCGAAAAGCACGAGCGAACGCGAGTGTTGCTGTTATCACGGCGCCTCAAATACTGGCTGCTGGAGCTTCCGAGGACTGTGAGACTGGAGGGCTACCTGCAGCAGAAGAGGCGTTTGTCACCGCTGCTGGGACACCGCCAGGATCGCTACTCGCGACATCATGCCACTTGTATGCATACCTCCGCAAACCACACTCATGAGGGCCCTCACTCACCCTCACTCACCCTCATCTTCACAGGTGAAGTGAGGGTGAGTGAGTTTCTGAACCAGGAAAATTCATGAGTGAGGGCCGTGAGGGCTGTGAGGGCGGTAAGGGCCGTGAGGGCTGTGAGGGCGGTGAGGGCCGTGAGGGCCGTGAGTGCCGTGAGGGCGGTGAGGGCCGTGAGGGCCGTGAGGGCCATGAGGGCCGTGAGGGCGGTAAGGGGTATGAGGGCCATGAGTGCGTGAGGGGCGTGAGGGGTGTGAGGGGCGGAAGGGCGGTGAGGGGCGTGAGGGCGGTGAGTGGCGTGAGGGCGGTGAGGACCGTGAGGGCGGTGAGGGCGGTGAGTGCGTGAGGCCCCCTTCAGATCGAGCATCTAGCTTTCTCAGCAATTTTGGTGTTAATGGCGGGTTGTTCTCTAGCTTTCCCTAGATCGACACGAATTGCTGAGATCGGGTCCGGCTCGAAATAAGCAAGCAACTCGGAGCAATTCGAATGCGTTTGAAGCGGCTGCATCCAATCAGGGACGCAAAATTTTCACGTGATACCTCGTGCCGGTGATGATGACACCGAAAGACTTGGTTCTGGTTTG